ATGAGGTCCCACGTAATTTGAACACTTTGGAATCTTGGCCTGGCACTCTGATGTCTCATGGGTTCCCCTACATCTTCCACATCGTTGGCTCCTGGTACAGAAACGCGTAGTGTGCAATCCCCAGCAGTGTTGGCATTGTTCGATCGGTCGTCGATGCGAGAAGGGAATTGCTGGCCCGCTTTTATCAAAAAGACGAATCTTTGTGTTCGCTGGTTTTTGTTGGAAATGAACAATCCAGCTCGTTGAGTATTGGCCCAGTTTTGTTTCTGTAGCCTTAATTAGATTGGTGTGGCGCCATATATAGTCTGGCATTCGTTCTTCACCATTTCGTTGGTGACTGGTATACTACCTTCAAGCGTCCTGATAAGCAGTGGAATATGAGGAGCCATCAGAGATGTCCACTGTGAAGCTGCCTCTATCACAGTGTTATCTTCGTGTAAGGATGGTGCAATTCTAATAATTATCTGTTAATGTATCTGATGCGCATTCGAGAGTGATCCCCGACCTGACTGATTACATGGACGTGATAGTTGAGGCTGCTATCCCAGCTTTCTCGGTAATTATTTTCTTCATTGTGATTGACGATAGCTTGTGCTAGGGGTTATCTCTCTCCAATCGAAGGAACAGGCGTTTGTCTTCCTTTAGGACTGTCTATGACTTAGGGCGGCTTGTTGGGGCTGTTCTTATCGAAACTTGCACACTGGGTGGAGTTGGTAGCTTGGCCGCTTTGCCGCCCGTATCGAGCTATTTTCTTGAGGTTGAAGGGGTAGAGCGAGGCTGTGATCCTCAACAGCTGTATTGTTCCTAGGCGCGACTGGTTTAAGGGTGCTTGCCACGGTGGGGCATTTCTTACTTGAGTGGGTTTTTGTTTCTACCTGATCTACTGCGAAGGCAGTGATAAAAGGCATGATATTTTCCATCAGATTCGCAACGACTGCTGCTGCTTGCTTCTCTCCTTTGCTCTTAGCCCAGGAATCGATTAGTCCAAGAATTCTTGGGCTATGCCCAATATGTCCCTTCTTTCTTGATTTGAGTTAGTTCTGGAGATTGGTAGAGTTACATACTAGCCTTGAGGTTTATTTTGAGTTATGATAAATATGTTTACTGTACGAAGAATTTTACTGATATTTAATTGTGATTAAATTGCTGTAATTCTATATATGTGGCGAGAAGTCCCTCTGTATACATGAAAGCGGGGGTTTCCGCACACTAGTGTAAACTCCAACATACAGTCAAACCCCCGTTAAGACGATGTAATCGGGGCCGTGAAAAATATCGTCATATAGAGGTTATCGCTCAAAAGGATATCATTATCTAATCCAGCTATCTAGGCTACTTTGTACTTTTGATGCATCTTTTATACTCCCATTTGCCGTCTTTAATCGCTCTAATACTCTCAAGGTCAGGCCAGTTTCAGGCTCACTGTCGTAGCGCAGTATTACTTGGAGCTTCGTCGAGTTTCGCAAAGGTCTTGCTCAAGGCCTCGGAGACTGTGGACTGGCTTAATCGATGGCCGTACTCAGCTAAGAACCACTCAATGCACTATTTTTGTGTTAGTTTTGGGACCTGGCGGTGCGCCCATCGTCGCAGAGCACGTCGTTGCTCCACAGAAATTCCCATTTTTGCCGGCATTGTTAGCACCAATCTGGCAAAAAAACCCTGGTGAAGACGATATTCAGAGGTTGAAAAATGATAATCGTGTAATCGGTAAATGTATGAGAACGAAGTCCGTTCCGGAAAAAATATCGTATTAACGGCAATATCGTCTTAACCAGGATCGTCTTAACAGGGGTCTGACTGTACTTCCTTATCTAACGTAAATGGGAAGGTTGTTGAAGATCCTAAAGCCAATGTATGCCGTTAGACATCTATTGGCTAATTACTATTCGTGCCAATGAGTGATGATATGGGTTAATCATATCTCATGGCGCCAATGTATATTATTCTAATATGTACTACTTGTCTACTGTAGTCATGTTGCTGCCTTAATTACAACAATACACAGTCCATTACGAGAGTCTACCGCGCAGAGACTACATCGCGCCCGGCGTGTGTAAGTATTGATGTTAAGGAAGCAGTGACGGCGAGGGCAGATCTGGAGGCGAGGAAAGTTATACGCAGGCCGAATTCTGGTGGACCACGCAAAGAGGCAGATACTAGTCGGAAGGTCTTCCGAAGCTTGCTTTGAGACTGCTGGTCAGGGGATTCCTTCGAGCGGCGCGCCCAGGAAATGGAGAATATTGAGTCGGTATCAATTTCAGCAACGGATAAAGCCTCAGGGAATCCATATGAGATGTACCCGTATTTTAAAACCGTGCTGATAAGGAGGTTTGCTCGTTTATCCTGTCTCTTAATTGGAACAATTCCTGTCACAGGCTGTAGAGCTACAGCTGTTTGAAGGAGTTCTGGAGCCTGGTCTGGAGAGGGAGCTACTAGAGCGATGCCAGATGGGACCGAACAGATGTCCTTGATAAGCTCTGGGCGTTCCAAGGGACTTCGTAGCTTCGTGCGGGAGAGGAGAGCGTCTTCGTGTCGAAAGGGGTGATCTAGTGCTAGGCGAACCAAGACTCTCGAATCGAGTCTGGGGTTTACCACTGCAGATTCAGCATTTTTTGCGAGCCTAAATGGTAGATCTGGGGAAGGCAAGCCTATCTACAACATTTTAGCGTAGGATAAGGTATTTGCCGGAGCAGATTGAGATTCTTTTTCGTGATAGCAATACGTTGAAAGATAGTAATTTATTCCTCAAAACCTGGTGGATCAGGGATAACTCGAGCAGCCGCGTGTACAGAGCTAGATATACCTTTAATAGAATTTGTTTTTGAGGTCTTTGAAGCTAAGAACTTCTGATTGTTACTCGACACCTCGGTCGCAGGTATCGAGACAAGAAGATGGTCGACCTCTAATTATGAGTCCATAAACTCACCTTCTGAGACTATTAGAATTAATTCGGCTGGAGATTATCGTCTCTTAGCGACGACCGCAACAATGTCCTTCTCATCTAAGGTTGGATGTGATGACTTGCGCTTCTTGCGCGCCGCTAAGCGCGTGAAGACGTTCGCGGAAGATTTACACTTGACAGGCTTTTTGCGCCCACTTGAAAGCTTGCTTATTTTTCGCATTAGATTTTAATTGCGTATGCAGCTATCTAGCTATGACAAAATATCAAAGAAAAGCACAGAATAGATGACTCAATGAAAAGGAAGAGCACTTATGCCTCGGATTTCATTTGCAAGTACCACTGCAAAGTTATAGTGGCATTTTCTTCACCGTGAGTCAACCCTGATCCGTAAATTCACACCCAGGGAACGTTGGAGGCGTGCTGTTAGTGGTGGATGGGTCGTTGACATGAATCAACCCCTTGAATAATAGTGAAACTTCCAAGAACCTTAGCTTGGTCACGTGACACAATCCATCGTATGGTCCAAGTCCTTATCTGGCCCAAGGGACCTGACGGATTAAATTATCAGTTCCATGGAACCCCGATCACAACATTAACACGCGAATACATAGGCTTAAACACCGAGGTGTACACTGAACACTGGTTAAATAATGCCCGTGGCAACAGCCTCTGGTGCTGATTCCAAACGAAACGGTACAACAAGATCACGAGATCACAATCAAGGCAATCAAGACCGTAAATATACAGTTGAGCAAAAAGATGAAGTGATTCGTATCAAAAAATGTTCGCCAACTGCCTATTATGATATCTTAGGACTGGGAAAGATTAGGACAGCGGCAACTGATGCAGATATAAAAAAGGCGTATAGGAAGATAAGTTTACTTACACATCCCGATAAAAATGGGTACGAGAATGCCGATGAGGCGTTTAAGATGGTCGCCAGAGCCTTTGGTATCTTGGGTGACAAGGAAAAACGGGCCAGATTTGACCAGTTCGGAGGCGATCCCGACAGTCGGTTTAGAGGTCAGCCTTCGAGTCCATTCTCAGGATTTGCGGGTGGAAGAACGCCGAGAAGCAATAGTAGAGGTGATAACGTGTGGGCTGAGGAGGTGACCCCCGAAGAAATGTTCAGAAAGTTCTTTGCAGAAGCAACGGGGCTCCGAGGTAAGCTCATATACTAGTTTCTCTCGCTGAAACTTTTGCTAAAAAACAATAGGCTTCAACGCTCCTTCAGATCTTTTTTTCAACGTTCGAGATGGTCCAGGTATTAGATTTCGCCAGTTCGGAGGACCTACAGGAAGGAGGAGAGAAGAAAACCCAAATACAAACAACGGAGCTACATCAGAATTATCTATTGCTGGCATAATACTTTTCGTACTATTCATTATACTACCCATAATTTCATTAATAAATCCAGGATCTGGAAATACAACGACCGGACCTTCGATGCGATTTGATAGTGCTGTTCCGCCTCACACACTTCAGCGAAATACAGAGCGCCTCAAAGTAAATTATTTCGTTAATCCAAAAGACGTAGAAGGTTATACTCCGAAACAATGGAGAACCCTCGATAAGAAAGCAGAGATTAATTATATCAATAGACTGAATGTAGATTGTCAGCAGGAAGAATTAGCTAAGCAAGAAATGCTTGGCAAAGCCCGAGGCTGGTTATTCGACGACCCTGACAGAATACTGCAAGCCCACAATCTGCCCATGGTAGCATGTAGAAAGCTTGAAGCCTTAGGACAATGGAGAAGTCATTGAACATGATTTTCAGTACTATAAGAAATGCAACATATTTTCAAGCATGGCGTCTGGTTGTAAGAATAATAGGAGATCTGTGCTTGTCCTATCAAAAATGCTTAACGGTGTTTATCTGTGCATTATTGATTCTACGATCCGTGCTTTTGAAGCTAAATTGTTGGATAACCTGCCAGATACTCTCTAGTAATTTGTGGGGCAATTACTCCGGTAGGATTTAGAAAAATTGTCTACATTGACAAACGATGACTGCGTAGCAAAGATTTACTCTTGCACTTCGTGTTCTTATGTTACCTATATAATTCATACTCTTTGTATTTAAATATCCCTCTAACAGCTACGTTAACTTCTGCTTGATAAAAAAGTTTCGCAAATGACTGAGCTGCCAAGTACAGGTAACACCTAATACCAGAAGCTGTATAAGTGTCCAACGTACGACCCTTGCGTTTGTAGTCTCACTCTGATCTCGAAACTCAGCTTCTCGTTCTCGCTGCCAGATTTGTTCCCGACGGATGTCTTGTAAACGGCCCTTGAGTTCTTTTACTCGCTGAACGATATGCAGTATCTTGCCTTTTTCCGCATGTTCTAATGACGAAGTGTGGCCAATCGCTAGGTCAAGCGTTAATCTTATGCCGCCGTTGGGATTAGACGTCGTAAGCCAGCCTGTTTTACCAGAGTTAGAGCTGAGCGTAAAGCATATTCGATGATCGCCTGAATCAGCGGAAGAAAATGTAAAGCGGCCAGATGAAGGACCCTTTTGAGATACGACACGATGATCATTATCGAAAATTTCCTACACGAGGGTTAATTTTCGATTCAAAAAGGCGATCGGGTGTAAATTAATCCGATATATTAATTAGGATGGGACCTCACATCGACGGATATGTAATTGGTGAGGCCATCATGTTTTTCCCATTTCTGTGTATGAGGATCGAACTCCTCTGCAGTGTAGTGACCAACGACGAGTGTCCCTAAGACGATCTGTTAGTATGTTATTTCACCTAAAAGTCATAGAGGCTCACCTCGGGTTAGTTCTTCAAAGAAGCATTTGGGATGATTGCCATCGACATAGAAGTAAAGAGATAGAACAGGCGAGCAAAGGGCGCTCCAAGTGATCAATGGGAACAAGGGCTTCATGTCGATAGAAAAATTTCTCCTGATTTAGCAGCTGAACGGGTTGATGAAGATTGGCTAGTAAGTTAGAATAGAGATTAACCCTTGGCTTGGGCTCATGTACCCGTGGCGTGTTGCGTTGCTCGGCTCAATCCATCCCGGCAAAAGGGCGACCCACATTAGTGCAAGAGCGGCGCACCAATGTGCGTCACATACTACAGACCACCGTTTGCAGACCGCGATAATCGTCTCCTCTACCGTAGAAATCTAGCGCCAAATACAAAATGGCATCCCATGATGTGCGAGACATGCTTGAAATCTCAGGAGACCCGCAACGACCATCAAAGAAGCTTAAGAACAGTGGAGTAAAGAGCACATTGAAGGGCCTGGCGCGTGAAGTGCAGAGTCTAGGCGGCGATATCCCTATTTCAATAGTTCCAGAAACCTCTCTTTTCAAGAAGAGGCGATTTGGAATCCGAAAACCTGCCAATAAATGGGACTTGAAGCCATTCAAAAATACAGCAAGAAATGACCAATCGTTAATTCTTCGACACTGGAAAAAAGTAGATGAGAATTCTCATAAATATGACGGGGAATATGATAGTCAACCAATGTTATCAATTGATGATTGTCAGATCGAAGATTCCGCGTTTGCGAAGTTTAACGTGAAGCCAAAGATCCCAAAGTACGATGGAAATATTTACGACCTTAAGCTTCAACATCCTGACTGGACCAAGCAAGAAACAGACTACCTCTTTTCCCTTGTTGATGATTATGATCTTAGATGGCCTATCATATGGGATCGATATGCCTATCAGCCTCCGTCAACTGAGACATCACAGGAAAACTGCTCAGTCACTCAAAAGCCAACAACTCGAACTATGGAGGACTTAAAGGATCGTTACTACAAAGTCGCTTCGGAGATGATGGAGGTTTCCATGGATAAGATGTGTATGTCTACATTTGAGTTCAACCTACTTAGTGCCATGCAGAAATTCAACAAAAGTCAAGAGACCGCTCGCAAAAAGTATGCTGAGGCGACTTTCTATCGAACCAAAGAAGAGGCAAGAGAAGAGGAAAACCTTCTGTTAGAATTAAATCGTATTCTTGCACGTTCAGAAAAACTTGGGTACGAACGGCAAGAACTGTACTCCCGGCTTGACGCCCCACCAACAACAATTCCTATCGGCGCATATACATCAAGCCAAGGGCTACAACAATTACTTACTACCCTAGTTCAAGCAGACAAGGTCAAGAGGGGAAAGACCTTCAGTGGCTCAAATTTGAGCATTCCCGGCTCAAATGCATCAAATCAACCGGGTAATCATGGCGAATTACGAAGAGAAAGTGCAGCACGGGAACCTGCGTCTGCGACAAGTGCCAGCAACAAAAAGATTTCTCAAGGGATACCCGATCGTCGGCATCTTTCTCCAGAGGAAGTGGTTCTTTTCGGTGTTAGACATTTCGATCGCATCACAAATACTGGTCCCGCTTTCCGTCATGACAAAATAATGAAACCTGTCATTAGTAAATCATCGGCTCAGCAGGCTAAGATAAATAATATCCTTACCGAGCTTCGGATTCCCTCGAGACTTCTCATGCCAACTTATCGTGTAGGGGAAGCATTTGAAAGCTTGCAGCATAGTATTTCTCTACTGCTTGAACAAAAAAAGATTGCCGACAAACTTCAAGGAGAAATCTGTTTTTTGAAAGCTCTAAAAGAAGAGAGAGTAAAAGCAGCCTCATCCGATAAACCCCAGTTTCCTGAACTAGAATTTGGAGAAGGACCGAGCAAAGAGAATAAAAGCATAGAATCTCATGATATTATTGCAGATGAATTAAGAGACGAAGAAAAAGAAAGCCCGGCATCTAGTGCGAATATGGACAGTCCACGTAGAAGAAGTACCAGTGTGACTAGTAATCATAGCGCAAAACGCCGTAAAAGATAAAAGGTTAATCATCCCCGTTAAAGTCTTTCAATTCTAGCATAGAGTCTATTCCTTCATCTATGAAGTCTTAATTTTATTGTTGTAGGTCAGAAAGGGTCAGAATATGGCATCTCCGAACGGTTTCAACCTTGCAGGCAAGTTTTGTGACTAAGTATAGCTTGAAGTCGTCGTTCTATTGGAATAAGTTCCTTATACTAGATTTCTGTTGAAATGCAGCTATATGGTCTATGCTCGTTCGATCTCTACTCTGGTTCTGACTCTATCAAGGTGATCTAGCGCAATGAACTCACTTTGCCTGGCCAGAGATACATTAGAGTTGAGTCATGTTCAAGCTGGCTTGAGGATAAACGATGAAGGGCTGTATGATTCTTGTGCTGGATGGGATATTGGGTTTGAGTGGCTTTAGTTCTCTAAGATTTTCGGTAAAATTACCTATGAAAGATCGACAAACACTCTTTTGACAATAGTAAAAACTTAAAGAAATAGAGGCTGCGTTTAGGATATTTTGTCTCGTATTCGAGTTTTTCCAAATGCAGTCGTCAACTTGCAGACATCAACCACCTTTTGTTGATGTTTTCTGCATGAGATGTGACGTAAATCTGGCACAGCCCATGTGGTGTGTTATTAAGATCGAGTTTTTCTTAAATAATACATTCATTGACGTTATTTTGCATCTCTTGAACCTTGCAGTGCACTAGTACAATATTCTGTTTTTATATCCTTATTTACGCTTTTCAATGGCTAGACTCTCCAAGTCTGCGCGTTCTCTGGCTTCTGCCTCGATTTCTCTTATCAATGGGCCCAGGTATTCAACGTCCTTTAAGCCATGTTAGCGCTTTAAGAAGGTCGAAAGATTTAGTCCGGATCATATACCTCTTCAGGCTTGGTCTGCTCTTCCTTGGGGAGAAGTTGGTGCGAGAGGGAACACTAGAGAAAGTTGGTTACGATACGCAGGACAATTGAAATAAGAAATGACTGAACCTGTACTGCTCGTCTTATGCGAAAAACTCGATCATACGCATCTTTGGGAGGTAGGCGCTTTAAGGCGTGAAGGACAACCTCAGACTCTTCTGGGATAAGGTCATCGGCCCTAGAACCATCAGTCGATTAATAATTAATCCGTTGCGTGCAACTCGTGTAGCGAGGTAGCAAGTAGGTTTTCTTGCGGCCACACCAGGCGCATCGCGGCGAGCTGGAGAACTCTTACCTCAAGCCCAATTTGCGGTATCCGGCAGCGTTTGTGTACCACTTCGCGAACGGGTCAAACACACGCAGAAGCCAGGGCCGCTTGATAATAAAGTTGGCAAAATGTGGTGCGGACATGTTGCGGATGTTCGATTTCAGTATCGTGGCGATCTACATGGACTATGGCGGGCGGCCTGATTGAGGTGAGAGACAAAACCGCTCGACCTATTCGGAATTTTGGATTAGTCAGCTGTTGTGGCACGTGTATAAGATTCTGAAACCTATGACGGCCTACTCAAGCGGAAATAATAAAGGTGGATTAATGCTATTTATTGTACTACTTGAGTCTATAACAATCTAGCACATTGAGCTCCTTTCTGACCTAGGCCATACCTGGTACAAAGCTCCTATCCTCTATTGTTACTTCAAATATCATAGATATATTGCCCGTGATGAATAGCCATTCGGCTCAGTATTTACCCGTGGAATTTGGCCACCTTATGCACCGGACCTTCTGCCCAAAAAAATTCAAACAATAGCAAAGGAAACTGCGTGCGAGGGAAAAAGTCTCAAGAAACCTGCAGCCCCAGCCAGGCGAGGCCTAGACACCGGGACCACATGAGGTGCGCATATCTATCTATATCTCCCTTCTTTGTAACAGTCGAGGTCGACTTGATCCAATCCACCATCTCCGTATCGTGTGCAGGGTACGCTCCGGAAACTCATGGGATGGCATCTCCTCCGTGATCAAGGGTTGGTGATGAGTAGGGCTCCAACCCTACCATCTGATCTGATCGTGGTTAGCTTCATGATAGTGGTGATAGGGGAATGTGTTGAAAGATGAAGACGATACAGACCGCGAAAGCGATTGGGAATCCTAATCGAAGTGAAGACTGTTACTCAGTCTCGGCTCTGCAGACTCTACAGTGAGAGCTGGAGGTTCGTAGGGGACACCACTGACAGGTGTTGAGAATAGTCCACCTAGTCTGTTCTGTTTTAAGCATCGGATTCTACATCTGTGATCGACGATAACTAGATGTAGGGGTGGTCATGTCATCTATCACAACAGATTCACGTAGAGTTGAAAGGTGGAAAAGACTTGTTGTACACAAATTTTGGGTAGCTAGACCCTAGCCTTATTTTCCTGAGACGTTATTATGAAACATTTGATGAGGTTATGTGATGAGCGGAAAGAAGTTGCTGTTGTGGTTATGAGCTATGCGGAAGTCATATTGCGGAGTGATGAGGAGTGGATGATGTTATAATTAGTTGTTGACAGTGAATAGACTCATACAATATTGTGCTGTAGGTATATGGACAGAAAGTATAAGACTAAATCTGTATCCATTTATCACAGGTACATCTATGAAGCTGTATACATGCTCGCCTAACCAGTACACTTGTGATGTATGCTGTGGCCTTGAGTCACACGCGATGCCTTAGCCTCGACTACCTCGTTGTCTCATATCATAACAGTTGCAGATGCAGATGCATTGATTCATAGCCAGATGGCGGGAAGGACTTTGTTGATATTGTTTTACTAAAGTCCTGAGCTAAAGCTCTAAGTCCACCATGAGTACAGGACCAGTTTTCACAGCCAGGACTACATGTAAGTCACACCCAGCTCGACTCCACCGCATGAACCACAACAAAACCAGTAGTCAGTTAAAATTCCGCGCCACCGCGAACTCCTTCCCCCAAAACTGACTGAGGAGAACATAAATGGCAAAGAAACTAGAACTGGGATCAATACTCCTCGCCCCAATTCCCGTTTAGTCAGGTTTAGTTTCCTGACGAGTTACATTCGATCTCCACTGAGAGTAGGAGATGGGTGCACAGGAGAATACCCAAAACAATTGGTATCCTGCACAAATATTAGGAAGTTCTCGAAGCACTTTGGTCCAAGTAGCTTATGTAGAAGAGCATGGCGTTACTATAATCCCCTGATTCGACGCGTGATGTTTGCGTTGAGTCGGCAATATATGTAGAGTGCAAGGGTGGTTTCCTCACAGGTGCACTCTGTGATAGCGTGTGGATTGTTTAAGCGACGATGGTACGCCGCGAAATTACCGTGGCCCGGTCGACAAGGAGGAATTCTTCACCTTCCAATGGTACCGGTGTAATCGCTCAGTATGCTCTGCATATCTGGGATAGCCAAGAAGAATCGCATCCGGATCGAAGTCAAAAGCAATCTCAAGCATATCTCCATTTGACGACTTCTCGACAATGCCTCTCTTATCATTATCATCTGAGTCCTCAACCCATCTCTAACTACGCACCATCTCGCCTCGACGACCAATAAAGAAGTTGCTCCAATTACATATATGAGCTTTCCCGATTAATTTACAGCCATCTCTCACTACATATTTACGACGCTATTTATACCCGCCAGGAGAAAATCAAGTCGAAGAATACAAAGTCTGGGTCATGGCTTATGGGGGACTGTTGCTCTAATGGGACAAACAGCTTGAGGAAGAACAGGCGGCTGAGATGTGGAGAGATAGGGGGGAATAGGTCACTGAAAACCATGCTGGGACCGATATTTTCGAGGAGTTTTCGACTTTGGATTTTTGTGGGCGCCAAGACCAAGATTGCGGCTAAATAGCCGGGAGGGCTTCTATTGTCGATGAGTCAACGGCACTCCCCAGCGCCCTAGACGGCACAAAAGAAGCTAGGCTAAGCTACCATACAACAATCACGCTCTGTCAAGACTTCTCTGACATTTCAGCACGACCTTCGGGAAGGAGTTGGAAGGAGGCTAGAAAGGCAGAGGGCGAATTTCCTGAGGTACACACAAGTCTGCAGCGCCCAGCTGGCCGGCCTCTTCGAACGCTTCAGAAGGAGCACTGTATCCTCGGGTTTAGTCCTAGTGTCGGTATTAGGAGAGCCCCGCACCCAGTGATTTTTTCGATTTTTCACGGCTGCCATATATCCGCAAATGGCCATCTTTTCATGGGCTAGAGAGGAGAGATAGTGAAGGGCAAAGGGCTCCGCTAAGTGTATGATCGAATGAGGACTCGTGAGGGGTGGTACTGTTTGAGGGGAGCTGTATGGGAGGCATAGGAGGGGATATACTACTCGTATAGGTATCCTTGGCCTGTAGGTAGAGAGGACCTGCATGTACTACATAGTCATAGACTCAGACAGAACAATAAACTGAAAAAAAATTGCCGTGGCCCGTACGGGCTGCAACAAGATTTCACAATTGTAGTCTGGAAAGCCCTAGCTCTGTTGGTTTGTCACGGCGCATTAGCAGATCAAGCTCACGATACCGTGGAGAGCAAGCTCACTCCACCAATTGTCTAGCAAAGCCTGTCATTGGGGATGCATTTCTTGATTTAGAAATTGTGACTTATTTTTTTTTTGCATCAGATCTTAATTTCGTATGCAGCTATCTAGCTATGACACAATATCAAAGAAAAGTACAGAATAAATGATTCAACGTTAGGGAAGAGCACTCATGCCTCAGATTTCATTTGCATTTACCACTGCGAAGTTATAGTGGCTTTTTCTTCACCCTAAGTCAACCCTCATCCGTGAGATTGTGACTTCACTTAGGAGATGGTAAAAAAATTTAAATATAATTTGATTCTCTTATCTATCCAACGAACGCTAGTAATACATATTTGAGTCTTAGTAATCAAATCCATGCTGTTTACCTAAGTAGATACGCCGATACTCCGAACACTATCAATTATATGAATATCCAGAACAATAAATATATTAATTGTAACGACAGAAATGCTATCGTGATGGTTGCTAGCTAAGTTTCCACGGTGAGGAGTGTTCGAAGGCCGGATCTGGCCGCTCCGTAAGTTTCCTCATTTCCACGTATTCCCCAGTGCCCTGGTACCCGCTTTATTCTTACCTGAGCTAGCCCAGATAGTTCGCGAAATCCTCGTACTTTCTCGTGGCTGGTCAAGAACCTGCCCGTGTTCAGTGCATTTATTGCTTGACAACTATCCGTTAACACATTAATGCACTGCATCACTCCCTTTGGTTGCTCTTCCTTCTGTCTCAGGTGACCCAGTGCAGCTTTAAAAGCTTTCTATGCCCCCGTAATCTCTGTGACTAAAACTTGTCTACCCTGATTTATGCCACTTCCTTTTAGAAAAGTTTCACGTCAATCTTAAGGACAAACCCCCAAGCTAAGCGTCTGTTTCCTTCCGATGCTCCGTCCAAGTACGCACAGATTTCTGACTTTGGCACATTAGTAATCCAAAGTTTACAGGCTTTTACTTGGTCTTTTCTCGAACCAGCCTTCAAGCCCGGCCGTGATTGGTAAACTGGTGGGGTAAGAGGTTCCGCGGCCTCCGCTTCTGGTAGCTGTCTAGAAGCACGCTGAGCCCGTGACATTTTAATTTCAGGACGTGCAGATTTCCGATTGTGCCTCTAAATTTTTCGCGTACCAACATTAGGGCAAACTGTAGCACCGATCCTGAGCGGATGGCGTTCGTCAAGTGTTTGAATCGTAGCAGAGAAGTGTTGGTAAAACACGAATTAATACAAATTGGGTGCCGTCACGAAGTCGGTGAATAATCTCAATTAACTGGTATCTCGAAATACATAAAACGTTGTCTCTCCCTTCCTTCCTCTACTCCAAGCGCCTCGCTAATGAGCTAAATCAGACCCCTGCCAGTGTCCTAACGACAACCTGAATATCGCAAATACATAGAACAATTCACACTACCCAAATGTGATCTTTTTCCCGACAAGAAGCGAAATCGGTTTCTTTCTAGTATTATTTTTCAGGTTGGAATTCCTCCTTCTCCATTAAGAACGGCGTTAGGCGTTGTCTTCATTGCCGGTAGTGCTTATCTAAGGTTTATTAAGATGGCCTTATCAATCATGCTACATAGGCCTGCAGTTGGAGACGTAACCATCCCTCTTACTGTTGGGCGTCTGAGGCCAGGCCACTAGAAGTCAGCTCCGTATGTTGCAATTGGTAAGATACACGTGTCAATCGCTTTAACCAACGCCCCAGGAGCGGCTCCTCGGTAGACCATGTTGAAGCGACGCATTTGCTGTGCAAATTTCAGGACTTCGCCACATAATGTTGTGACATGATGTTTGAGGTGTAGCCGAGGATCAAGGTTCACACCAAGCCAGCGGATATTTTGCGACGGTTCTGTGAGGGT